CATCGCTGCGACCAAGGATTATTCTAAGGATTTTTATCAACTACGCATTTTGTTTAAATAACCCTATCAAAATAGAACTATGATCTCAAAATATACTGTCAAATTATAGTTAAAAAATGATAAAATGTGTAGCTTCTTTGTGAAGTAATTTAAAATGTAATGTATTTAAAAGATATAAAACAATTTACATTCGTGTTCAAAGATTTTTTTTTATTATTTTTTAATAAATTTCCTTTTTACTTTGTTTATAAATCATAATGTAATGTATAAAATAACACTAAACAACATTGAATTAAAAATCAATTACGCAAAAGTTTATTATCAAGTGCGCATCTACCTTTTCCAAATAAGCTCAACTGCGATTTAGAATAAGCCCTGGCTGCGACATAATATAAAAACTATAGTGATTATACTCATAAAATTATAGAGTTAGACGAGAGTCGCCAACAACCTTCATGATAACCATGAAAAAAATAGTGATAATTATGATAGAAATAATACGCCTATGTACCACAGACAAAACCCTTTATTCGTAAACATTTAGTTATAAAATACTTAAATACCAAATAGTAGTAATCTATTATATTATATGCACTTAAATACGACCCATGAGGGGAGGGCTATAACTCTCTTAGCCTCCCCCCCCCCCTTGGTTACGCCACTGCGGATGACATTACATCTGGATAGTCAAAATGAACAGGACTTTCTATTGGTCATTAGATATTTCAAAAGACCTTGGACTCGATTTGAAATTTTGTATAGGTAGGCGTAGAAACTGATGGATGCAGTGTAATGACTTTTAAAAATATTGGTGCCATAACTACTATTTAAAATAATGACCAATGGCCATACAATTTCCATGTTTAAATCATGCGTTAAATATTTTTCTTTCTTATTTATGTAAAGTAGCTTCTGTCAGAAATACTATCAGCATAGCGGAAGAAGTTGTTGCGTTTTTTATGGGTTCTGTATAACGGCAATTTGTTCTAAAGAATACTTTGAATCACAAATTAAAAGGATTATGCCAAACACGATCGACTGACATGAATAATGATGTGTTACAATATAAATTATCACTTTTAAAAGTACATAGTAATTTTTATTCAATCAAGGGTTCATAAAAAATAACCTACTCCACGGTCCGCAATTTAAATTATCATTTATATATAACATTTATATAAAACATTGTATGCTGTTTTAACTCTTAAAAATATTTATTTTGAGAAACGCTTTCTGGGAGCAGTGGTTACACAGAGTAATAAGTAATAAGACATACTCTCAATATTTCAACTGAATCGGTATGGTAGTTTTTGTTTTACGTTGATCAGTCAGTCAGTTATCAAGCACTTACTAAAGGCTAGTTCAGACTATGCCAGTAATTTAGTCAAGTAGCGAGTATTTTATCATCATCATGTATGGACAGATCGATTTAGTTGAGTAGTTTAGTCAATCCATTCTATTCTATTTTTTTGGTCGAGTAGCACCCCCCTCTTTCCCGACTGATAACTAAATAAGCTAGCTTTGGGTCTGAACTATAGTGATGGGCATAATCAAATGATTTCAATGACCGAAATATTAGTATTCGAGACATTTTTATAATCGAGAGATGTCTCGAAATAATCATTCGAAATATTAATAATCGAGATATTAGTAATCGAGACATTTTTATAATCACGAGATATCTCGAAATAATCATTCGAGATGTTCAATTAAAATATAGTATAATTTTATTTATAAACGTTCTGAGAAATTTTTGTTGTTTTGTGGTTGAGTAATTAAAAAATTTTTGCTATACTTATTTATGTCAAACGTTAAAATATAAATATATCACTTTCCACAGCACCAAAACGACTACTTATGTACTAAAACAGTTTTAAGCCCTAGTTGTGTCTGAACACTTTTCAGTTAGTAAATCACTTACCACTCGACTAAATTACTGGCACAGTCTGAACTAGCCTTTACCGACCGAATGCCTAAACTACGAGCTCCACAGGAAAAAAAGCTGGTCTCCCTGAACATATTTCCACATCACTCAACAACTGCAGAGAATCAATGAAAGCAACAATCAAGTTCATGGTATTATCAAAATAATTGAGTAACATTTAAAAAATGTCCCAATGGCCTATGTTGCCGCGAGTTATTTTGAAAAAACCATAAAAAAAAAATAAATATTATGTTAAGTACCTATATTGTTTTTACAAAAGACGTAAAAAGTGAGTAAGGAGTCGTAACCATATATTTTCTAGGAGACAATCGAACCAGAAATCGATGAAAAGTTGTACATCTCAGCAAACGTGCGATTTAGTACCGAAGCGGTGAGACGTACGATTCACAGTACGATCCGCTTCGTTTTACTTGATACGATTTGTTTTGTTCGACAAAGTCGTTGCGTGCAAACCCGCCTTTATACTGTCAACTGTCCGTCCGGACGCGCATCATCGCGAGAGCAATGTTTACCGTCTTCGCCGACCGCGTTTAGGCCCGTGCGCTATGGTACGAAAGCGTCGTCAGACAATAACATAATTGTACGATACGCGCCATTGGCATAACAATGCTGATTGCTGAACGGTCTGACGAAAGGCATTGCAATTATGGGTCCAAAACATGTATATTGTAATTTTATTGAATTTAGATTTTAACTTTTGATATTTGGTTAAAAATACGACAGTAAAAGATTTAATCTTCTTTTATTAAAATTAATATCATATTTTCATATGATATTATCATATAAAATTTAAAGCAGTCAATGATTAATTGGAGCTTAAGTCATTTTTGATTAAAAATATTTATGTTGGTATTAAATATAAATAAGTACCTATTTTAAACATTCGTAAAATATTGAAGGAATTTCGAGGGGAGTCCTGACACCCTGCCCCCCCCCCCCCAGATACGGCCTTGTGTGTGTGAGAATGCATACAGGCAATTTGCATCGAACCATAGTGTCATTCTATCGCAGAACAACTGGTCGTTCTGCAGTTCCATGTTAGTTTTTACAATGCCTATTTCGGAACATTGGGATCACGTAGTGCTCGTAAATTAACACACTCGTCGGGTCAGTAGCAAAACCTATTTGCTTTCGATAACCCCTATCGATAATCAGAAAAAAGACTTATGTTTATCTGTATAGCATTAATAAATTAAAATAAAAAACTAATTGACAGTTGCTAAGCCGCCTGCGTAGACTTGCGTAATGAATACTTAGCATAGCTCCGTGTATCACTCCGCTGCTGACCTTGGTGTTATAAGTATATTTTCTATTCTTCGTGATTTTCGTTATTGTATTGTTCAATAGTTTTTTTTTTTATGTATTCTAATAATCAAACACTATATTTTCATTTTACATTTGTATATGCTTGTGTCAGATGCCAATGTATAGTGGCCAAAAAGTTAAAACTTAAAATTACTGTACATGAAAGTTTTTGTAAAATTGTATTTCTCAATTTAATTTTCACTTAAATATTATAATTAGACATAATTGTTTTTATTCAATAACATTTTTACGTATTATTATTTCAATGTTCAGACACTTCAAACAAAATAGGGCGTTTGGTATTAGAGCAATAAAATATTTAAAACTTGAAAATATTACACCAAGTACTAAAACAATATTATGTAGGTACAATATTTTATTATCCACTTCCTTATAATTTTAGTTATAAATTAAATGATCTGAAATAGTACCAGCCAAAATAGATTTCATATAATATTGTACTAATATCAAGTTTTTTCTTACTCTTCTGTGATTTATTCTTACTTTTAATGATTGTATTAACCCAAAATGAAAGAAAAGTTAAAGAAAAGAGAGTATAATTCACTTATGAACTAATATACTTTCTACTTTATTTAAGGGAGGACATAAGATTCAAAATTTAACTAATACCGGGTACTTGAAAATGTTATACTTCATTGCATGTACTTAAATACCTATTCATAAATATTGTCAAGTATAAATAGTTAAAAATTGATTAAAAAAAAAAAAATATCATAGAAAAATCAAATTTTATCATGGGAAGAATAAAGAAGAAGAATAAACAACCTGTAGAATATAGGTAAAAGTAAAATTGTAAATTGAAATGAACTGCAAACAATTGATATAAAATAGTTGAACTATCATATTAATTTAATTATAGTAATCAATATAAATTATTTATTACTTATTACCTTTATACCCATTAACAAATATATTTGAGCATAAAATATTCTTTAATGGATACAGCTAAGCAATAATATCAATTAATGAAAGATATGAAAAGTTGAACAATATTTCAAACATATTTATAATAATTATTCATAGTGTACCAACGTCCAATTTAAAAATAGTTTTAATATAAATGTAATTTTAACAGTTATTTTATATTTATTTAATAATAAACATAATTTAATATTCTTACAAATGCATAGTTTAGTATTGTATGATTATGATATTTATAGTGAATACATATTTTAGCGTTAAAGTAATTTTTTAAGAAAAAAATGAATGTCTTAAATGACATGAAGTAATGAAATATTAACCTCAAACATATAAATAATTGAATAATAAAAATAAATTTTTTAATTAATATTTAATTGTAATTCATTTTCACTTTTTAGGTTAACTTGGTTTCTCATCTTCTCTTATGTACTTAAAGGTCATCAGTGAATAAGTAGGATTTTCTAGAACTGAAAACTTAAAAATCTTAAATACTAAACTATCTTATTATTTTCAATATTGCGCTATTATAACATTATAACACATTAAAAATATTGTCATACTTCTAACAAAATATTGATAGGAATAATTGTTTATAAATAAATTATACAAATTACTCAATTACATTTTTTATTTGATTTTATCAACAAAAAACTTATTTTTAAAATTATTTACAAAAATTCCACCAAAACAATGCATAAAATAAGTATTAAAACAATAATTATGTATAATTTTGGGACTAGATAATATATTATAAAAATAGCTATAAAAATAGTTATAATAAAATTAATTATATAATAATAAATTAATTTGAACTAACAAAAGGTTATGAAAATGTAGATAGCTATATTAAAGTAAAAATGTGATGATGCCATAAGGTATACCAAAAATTTACATTCATAATAAAATAAAGTGCAAATCAATAAAAAATATTGATTATTGTTCAATCACACTAATTTCATTTTGATCCACTTGATACAAAAAAAAAAAAAAATTGATTGGGTATCATTATTTTATTTGAAAGTTTTATTTAATTGATCTTTGTTGAATTTCCAGTATTTTAAGTTTCCACATGAATTCACCACTGCATACTAAAAATCAAAGTCAAATTTAGTAAATTTATTTGCACAAAACAGTGTATAATACAATAGAACCTCATAAATCCACACTGATTGGAACTCTAGATTTTCCGAATTAAACCAAATAATCAAAAATCGTTAAAATTGCTAAATAATACATATGTATGTAAATAATATAAATTTAATCAAATATATATTGACAACAATTGGATAACATTTATGATAACTGATATTAATAAATATGTAATCGGAATAATCAGAATTTATAAGATATTTGTAGAACTTGTTTTCATGTTTATTTTAATCTACAGTATAAACTCGTATAATTTATGTATTACACAGGTGTCCGGCTGAATGAGATATTTCTGTATTATATAGGTTAATATTTAATGTTAATGTTTTATTATATTTAAATATAATTGTTTAGCTAAAAATTTTTATAGCACATTTATCAAGTTAATCATAACTAAAGCTGATAATATATAATTTGTTTACATACATTTATTCTAATAACTATTTATTTTATTATTGTACATTCTTTTTTAATAGTTTACATTTATTATCAGCATGTATTATATTATTTAAAAACATATTTTAATGTTGTGGACTTTACATAAATAAACATATACAACATTTTTTTCACTAGTTGCTTGATTTATTATAATAAAATAAATAATTGCTATCAAAATAATCATATTTTTTAATAAGTCTTTTTTTTTTGTATCTAATTGTTAATATTAAATAAAATAAAAAAGAATTGTGTTTTGAAAACAATCATTAAAACACAGATACACATTAAGATTTATTATTCATAGTATAATTAAATAGAAAAATGTTTATATTAATATTTAAAATAGTTCCATCTATATTATTGAATTTAATTAAAATTAAAATATATTATAATTTTTTATATTGTATCATATGATAAAATAATATAATTATATTATTTAAATAGGAAGATAATAGAATCACATGTTATTAAAGACTTTATTATTATTTATAATAAATCAATAATTACCAAATACTGTTTAAAATGTTGAAATAAATGATGCTAGCTTCGACCATGAACACTGCTTTTTTGTGCTTTCTTTTTTCGGGCAGCTAACATATCATAGAAAGGATTATGACTAATACTTTGTCTGAAAATGATTATAATTAATTGATAAAAATAAGAACATACATTATATAATAAATTAATTTTAGTAACTCACTTAAGGCATTTTGTCCATTCGTCTTTTTCTTCAGCTGTTGCTGCTGACATTCTATAGACAGTATGTTTACCTATAAAATATTTTTTATTCTATTTAATAAATTTAGTAAGATGTTAAGTAGAATTTTATACATTATAATAGATTTATATTATTTATAAAATAATAATTCAAAAATGTGTTATTTTTATTTACCTTCTACAACTTTTCCTTCACTATCTGTCTTACAAGCTTTAATGAAGTCTGTAGTTCCAGGAGCAGCATATAACTCAAAACAGTGTGGTTTATGCCGATCAGATACTTCCCGTACTTCAATATTTTCTAAAGGAATTATTCCTCGAGGTTCTTTGTCAGTTGTGTATTCAAAATAATATAAACAATTATCATTTAATATAAACCATCGACGCTTCCAACTTTTATAACGACCACCTATATAAAAAAAAAAAATAATAACAATGTAACATAAGTTCATACAATACAATGAAAATTAAATAAAGTAATAACCTTGTTTCCATAACCATCCCTCTTTGTCAGGATTGAAGAATGTATGCATTAAATCATTTCCATCATCTTCAGGAATTTTAAAAGGTTCTGTTTTAATACTTTCATAAAGACTCTACAAAATTAAAAAAATAAGAAAAATAAGACATAAACATAAAATTAAATATTTATACAGAACTCACTATTAAAAGTTCTCGAGGTAAGTCACCACCATTATTAATACCACGGTTCATTTGTATAAATTGTTCAACAGATGGTTTATCTTTTACACTAGGATTATGAAGACTTGTATTTAGCATTATAATAGCAAATGATAAAACATAACAAGTATCTGAAAATAAGGTCATAAATAAAATATATAACATAAATAAAAAAAATAGTTTAAATTCTTACCAGTATTGGTAAAAATATTAGGGTTTAATTGACAATATCTTTCAGCAAAGCACTCCATCATCCTATCGATTTTTTGTGCTTCACCAGGTAATCTAAAACTCCAAAGAAATTGCCTAAAACCATGAATAAACATTTTTTCAGCCATCCATGATTTATGACTAAGTCTAATTTTGTAAAAAGATGTTTATTTTTATAAATGTTGATATATTATTTATAATTTATTTTTTGCGTGTTTATCACAAAAAATAATGATTTTTATTCTAGTTTATTATATAGCTTTATATATTAATTATATTTATCTATCCAATAAAAAATAATAATATATAAATAAATAAATAAATAAATACTTAGACTGAAGCATTATGATTTATTTATATATTAATTAAAGAGTATTAACCATTTAATAATATTTATTTTTTATTATTTTATTAAAAAATAATATTTAATATTTTGTATCATTTATGAATTATTAAGTTATTGATATATTTATAACCTAAAATACAATTGCATGTTTCTAATTTAAGTTTAAAAATTATATTTTGGTAACAAAAATTGAGTGATCATAAAATAATGAACAATAAAATAATAGAATAAATTATACCAAGATAAAAAGGATTCAAGTGATAAATAAAATAAACAAATATGTTTTTATATTAATTGGCTTTTGAGACAGAAAATCTACATAAAAATAAATAAAAAACTTTAAATAAACATTACAGCAAGGTTGAAAGACAGATTAATCACAGGTGATTACACACAATAAGCATTTACAATATTTGTATGTTTACAAATAAATATAAATATAAAAAATATGGATTTTTTACCTTAAAGCTTGAACCAATATGAGATCGGTAAAATCATGGAGAGAAACAAACTCTCTTAAAACTCTTTCATTAAAATCGTTTCGCTCTCCCAAATAATCGCCTATTGCAGTTTTATTTAATCCTTCTCCTTTATAAAGAAAAGCTGCAACATCAGCTTCATTGTGATTCAATAAACCATGTTCAACAAGAAATTCAATTCCTTTCTTTGGATCCATGTTAAATTTTTTACGACCAATTGAAATTTGTTTGGCTTTGGTTTGGTTTTTACTGAAAAAAAAGATTAGAAATAATAATGAAAAACAAATTAATCATTATTTTTATTTTTAAATCCATTTGATCAATCAAATTACCTATCATCGTTAGAATCCATGTTTTCCATTTCACCAACAACTTCGGATAATTCATCTTTCAATTGCTAAAAAAATAATTATAACATTTGATAAAAAAAAAAAAGTTATACAATTTATATTGAACATAGTATTAATAATATATTCAACTTCAATATATTATAAATTAATAATTCAAGAAAATAATTAATAAAATAAGAACTTTTAAAAACTATTAAAATAATTATTAATAATAAAGTATTAAGCTAATCTGAAAATTAATTTAAAATTAATGTATTTATATACAATTTAAATACATTAACATTTAATATTGTATTTGTACAGAATATATACATATGTTACAGATAACAACAACTATTTTATAAAGTATACTATACTAATATATTTTTTTTAATAACACAATTGGTTTCCAAGTTTATCTAACCATTTTAAGTACTTATATAGTAAATTGTATTAATGATAAAACACGTCATGCATTAATTTAAAGTATAGGTATTACTAAACAACTACTGGGCGTTAATTTGTTTTATAGTATAAAAATTTTTTATTTAAATTCTTAAAATATAAAATTATAGTTTACTTTATTATTTTATATAAAATAATTTTTTTAAAAAATGCATTTAAAAAATAGCCAATATATATTTGTAGTTGAAATGATTTTGTACTTAAAATTATTTCTAAATAGGTAAGATTTAAATTTATTTTTAAGTTAAAATTCTAAATTTGTTATTTATTTATTTTAATAATTAATAAGATAAACATTTAGAAATACCAAGTTTATAATTTTATAATATAGTTAAAAACAAAATATAACCGGTATGACAAATGAAAACTTAATCTCTTAAAAACTTTAAATATTTTATCAAGCATGTAATTGATGCATTTATTTTATTAAATAAATCATTAAATATAATAAAAATAGTTTAATTTCTAAAATAGTATAGAATTAATTTAAAAATTTAGTAATCAAACATACCAACATAAATAATTTAGGCTATTGTTTAAAAATCGTATGTCAAGGTTTAATTAATTAATTAAAATTCATGGAAAACATATATAATAAATACTAACCTGTATTTCAAGTAATAATTCGGCTTTACGGCGTCTAATTTCAATTAACAACTTTTGTTGTTCTGTTGATAATTCTAAAAAAAAAGGAAATTAATTATTATACAAATATCATGCATATTTATAAATATTTTTTATTTATGGTAACTATTAAAATAACAATTTTATACATGTATAAATCAATATTACTAGTTAGTTACTGTTAATAAGTATTTCTAAAATAAAATGTTTATAATTTTTTTCTTTTAAATTAACAGCTAGTTGTAAAGAAAAAAATCAATGTATTAATTATTTGTGTTTATAACATTACAATTTTAATATATTTATGAATTTGTATTTGTTTTGAAAAAAAAAAAAAATTATTGGTAATTACTTAGTATTTATAAATAATATTCTAAAATCAGATATTCATTAACTAAATTGATTTAATAAATTAATAGGTAAGGATATTTCTAAAAATAATTTATAATAATAAAATTTTACAAAGCAATAAAATCTGAACTGAATTATAAATTATAAATACCTTACTTATATCTACTAGTGTAGAACTTTATGAATATTCAATATTTCAATTATAGCAATAATATATTGGAAGTTGTGAATATTAATAAACATAAATATTATAATTTAATTGGTGCCTCAAAAAAATATTTATTAGTGTATATAAGATAATATTTATTTGAAATTATTAATTTTGGAAAAAAGCAATCCAATTTTTTACTATAATTTTTAACTATACTAGTCATAGATATTAATAATTTTTTTAAAATCTACAGAATAAATATTTATTAAATCAACATATAATAAATTATAAAACATTATTTAATATTATAACTATATATAGGCGATCAGGATGGTAAAAGGAATAAAAAAATATTAAATTTTATATCACATAAGAAATAATGAATGACTTATGAAAAATATTTAATTTTATTAACTAACTTAAATAATAAACTAAATAAATTATTAAAACTTCTGATGAAATTCTAAAACTAAAATATATTCTTTATAATATTTAGAACTATTACAAGCAAATTAATTGTCTTAATCATTCATAATAATAAAAAAATATAATACTAGATAATGATGTATAAATAAGAAATATTTGTTTGCAATATATAATTAATCCATAAATTCTATATTTCTAACAAGTATTAAAAATTGTTAGTTATTTTAACACATAAAAAAAAAATTAATATTTTGATAATTTACAAATGGAATCAGTTATACCTTAAAGTTTATAATGCCATAAAATAAAATCTATATCGAATATTTTTTCATTTATTGCATAGGAGTTACTTTAATTTTTTAAGTATTCTTGAATATTGTTATTTTATAATTTTCTAACATTAAGCAATGTAATTTTAATTTTTTTCAGAAATAACTAATCTAATATAATGAATACTATTATATACAGTAATACTCATCAACTTGATTAAGAGTGTACTAAGCCAACAAATATTTGAATATAAATATTTTTATGATGTTCATTGGTTGTGGGAAATGGTTGTAAATATTAACAAACAATTTAAATGTATACATTTTAACTTTGCACAGAAATAGAAATAAAGATTATTTAAATAAATTTATAGTATCGTAAATACCATCAATAATTACTTTATAGTAATACATAGTAATATATTGCAACATTTAATTTATTATATTCAATAATGTTGTTTTAAATTTAACTTAAAATAGTGTTTGAAGTGTTTTGTGGTAATAAATTAAAATACAGGTATTCTATGGCTACAGACTTTGAGTATTTGAAATATTATTGAACATGTTAAAATGAAAAAGGTAAAAATAATGAACACCTATTTTGAAGGATTTTGAAATGGATGAACAAGTTATTTAGAATTTGATGACTAGAAAATGTTACTATACATGAATGGAAAACTATGGAAATTGAACAACCAATTAATTATCTTATTGGATGACATAGGTGTACGATGATAATATTACATGCTCATAGGAAATATACATACCATTAATATTGAAAGTGTCGTTCATGTATGGGACATTCATTTTAGATGTCCTCAGTACACTTCATACTCGTAACACTAGTATTACGAAATTAATCATGACTTTTCTTCACGAGGGAGGTAGCGGGCGAAGGAAAAACGCAATAGTCAAAAAGAGTTGGTAAACACTGAAATATAATCCACTGATAGAGCAATCGCAATGACACGTCGTTTCGGAACAATAAAAACACAATTAAAAGTGAAGACGTTCGCAAGTAGGTTACAACGACGGAAATTAAAAGACAATATAATAATATTTAATAATAATAATAATAATAATAAACGTCAGACGACAGGTGACGGAATAGTCGTTTATTATTATTTTTTTCCGAAAGCGGTGTTCGAACGAGAAATTATTTTCTGTGCAATTTGTTGCGAAAATCAAAACATGATAGATAACACGTCTTTTGTGGTTTCGAGAGATTTAAAAAACAAAAGACGACACTCACTGATAACACAACGCTCGACGGATAACACTCGCTCCGCGCGCGCGTACGTTCACACTCGCACATACTCGCGGTTCACACGGCGTACGCACGCAAACGCGAAAAGTTACTTCCGTATGACGTCACGCGGCGAGGGTTTTACCACGGAATAGGTTAAGGTTATTTATACGATAGTTATCGTGAGCGGAATGAGGTGATTTTGATTATCGCGCGCACAACAATATTATCGTTGAAGTGATAATAATAATAATAATAATAATAATAATAAAAAAAGAAAAGAAATTTGTTGTTTGTTACCGTTTCACTCATCATTTTACACACGTACCCGATACAATTTTTTGTTTGTCCCCTACACCCTCTTCGCCCCGTGGGCGAAATACTGTACCGGTGCCCGCTGCCGCCGGCGATCACGTCCCAGGGTTTCCTATCCCACGGATCACGGATACGGTACGAGCGGAATGTCACCGTTTAAATGGTTTATGGTGTTCAACAACACGATTCTGAGCTAATAGGAAGGACGTGGTCGTCTTTTTGCTTTCACGACAGATCAAAGGAAACGGTCAGCATAGTGCATTACGATGAGGACTGGCCCCTCAGCTGGGGCACGTCTTCAACGTGCAATCATAATTATAATGCCCGACATCAGTACCCATGTTCTATAATGTTTTTCTTTTGTTGCGATGTAGGGTGTATGAATACCGTTAAACACAAGCCAGGATTGCAACTTCAATACTTGTTGCAAGGAGGCTCTTATCGGAACACCAAATTACGTAAGTGCACAATCGTTGAAACGCCTCTTTTGACATTTGTACAATGTAAGACATTCTCTTGTCATCATATTCATAGATTTTGAATTGTAGTTCCATTTATAACATCACTAGGTAGTGTATTTAATATTTTCGGGTTTATAAAGCCCATAGGGCAAACTAGATTTTGGATAAGGTACCTAGATAGATTTTGGTTTTTTTGTACATTTAATTTCAAATATTGCAATTGTATAGTATATTGTATTTATCTTTTAGGACCTATTTATATTAACTAGGTAGTTTGTAGTGAACGCTATAGTCAGTTTACAGTTAATAGTTTGTAAAGAAATTAAAATGCACTAGGTATTTTATGATTTACAAACACATTGTCACCGATGAAATAGCTACACATTGTACAGTGTTCTAAGCAGATAAATATCATGGTTATAACAGGTTCAGAATCTATAATATTAAAGTATTAAGTAGAGTTACAATATGTCAATTACTGCTGTGGATTAATTATTAAGAGCAATATTTTTACAAGTTAAGATTGTTTAGAATGGTTTCCAATATTTATTTTACTCCTATAGATTATAATTACTAAAGTATACATGATGTATAGTTTCTGGAATGACTAGTTATAATTATAACAATTATTTATAACTTCCATCAACTTGTAAAATATAGCTTTAGTTCATAAATATATGAAAATGACTAAGGTTTAAATATTTTAGCAACTGTAGTTTTAACATATGTACTACAACACTCGTTAATATTTGATTAATATATAATATATTCAAATTTAAAAGTATAAACATTCTAACTTTGGAAGTGTATTTTATGTATGACTAAGTTTCTTTAGTCACCTTAGTTGAATAAATTATTATTAGTTAATATATACCTTTATATTTATTTAATACATTTTATTAAGTTTTTTAATTTGATATTATTTGACAAATATACTGCTTCCACCAAATGGATATAAGTTACATATTATAATGATTGAAAGCAATCAGTTTTAGTCAACTGTATAGTGTACACCACTATTGCTTCTTGTTTGTGAGTTTTCCCTTATTTACATTTCTATAATAGATAAGGGAGTAGATAGTTTCTAGCAGGAATTAATTATAATTCCAGTTAAAATCTCTTGGTGGATGGAGTAGAAATTAAATATTTGTTTTAGGTATTTTGAAAATACCTTTTTTTTAATAATACCTAAGTTTAATAAATGGATATTTATTTTTATATTACCTGTAATTTTATAACTTTATATCAATCTTTAATTTATTATTTACGATGATAATAATGAATATATTAGAAAAGAATTTTTTTCCTTGACAGTCTCGATGAAATACTTTTTTATCACACATATAATTTTAGTACTATAATGTCTTTTATTTTAAGATAATCAAAGGTGGACAAGTTAATGAAAATAATTAACTCAAGTTAAGTTAAGTTAAGCGAACACAAGATCATTAAGTTAAAAGCTAATAAGAAAACAAATATTAACCTACTCAGTTTAAAAAAAGTTAATCTACTAATCTATATAATTAATATATAAATCACATAAAAAGTGACTGCGTTCTTTAGATAGATCTAATTTCTTAAATTATAATAAATGATTTTATTGAATTTTTATCGTAATATACAGCAGTGGCGCCCAAGTGTTTGAAAAATACTATGACATTGTAAATCAAGGAGCCATTGAATACCTAATCTATTTATCTTTATAGTTAACATTATTTATACATAATATTCTGTATCCATAGCCAAAACCCAATACCCAAAGGAGGGCCCTCAACCAACTAAATCTAATATGACATCTGATGTAAAGTGTATGCGACCATTTTACTTTACACGATTATTTAATTTTTATATTAATATTTATGTATAAATGAAAAATTTTCAATTTTTTAACTTGATAGATTATTTTTAAATCAACTGTGAAAAGCTAAGTTATATCAACTGTCAATTAAACTAGTTAAATTGAAAAGTTAAAAAAATGAATTTTTTAACTTCACTTTAAATTTTTAACTAGTTAATGCCCATCTTTGAAGATCATATAATATTTGAACAACTATTATGTACTTTATAGGAATTATTGTATTTTTCATTTGGTAATTAAAGATTGAACATGGAATCCACAAAAAAAATTTAATTACACCATATAATTTTTATATTTTAAATGTGATTGGTTCACATATGTTAAAGGTTTTGTTGTAATTTTAATTAATTACTTTGAATCAATAAAATAATTTGAGCATATTGTATAATGAATGAATTAATATAATTTTAATGTTATGATATTCAATTTTTTAACTTATCATACAATATTCAACAAGATATACTGAACTATACAATTATAACTATCATAAAGAGCTTAAAATAATTTAAAAAATATGCATATATTTTTAAACGTTCAAAATTAAATTTAAATGTTTACATTTTGATATTTTACATAGATTTTAAATTGATCTTGAAAATAATATTTATTGTAATTTACTTATAATTACATTAGTTAATATTATTTTATAACAGCATAACACACATCATTAATCTATTAATTATATTATTATTTATATCATTTTAGGAAATGCTTTAAGTAAATAAACCTAAAGGGTAGGCTCAAGGCTAAAGTAAATCAAGAAAGTAATCAGCATACATATTCATAATGAATTATATATTCATTTTTTGTGATATATTAATTATTTCTCTATGATTTATTTAGTAGCCGATGCATACAATTTACATACATTTGATTTATTTATGAGTATTTATGAACTATAATTTTGCTATTTACTGGTTAGTGATCATTAAACAGAATAACAATTAGAAAAATTAATTTCTAGAAATACCCAATGGAATTATAAAAATCAAATTCAAGGCCCATGGGTATTTAATATATTGCTAACTAGAACATAATTTTATATAATGCAAATAAATTTGTTAGTAATTTGTAGTTATAGTTCTCTAAAAGTTTGTGAATTTATTCATACCTTCTTATATCTTAATGTAAGTTAATGGATTCTATGCATAAATAATAATTATATGATTACTATGTAAATTTATTAAATAATAGAATATACTATAAAATAAAAGTTTATGATGCATTGATTTGTTTTTAAACTGACAGTTACTAGAGGAACAGTGATTATTGATTAGTATTAACTCATAGGTTTTTGACCTATTCATAATATATGACTAGGTATTTCATTCTATGGATTCTATATTTGTCATTTTTTTTTTTTACATTTAAACAATTTGATAATATATCATACATTAGACCAGTGTCTATGATTATAACATAATGTAGGTAATATCTATTAATTTATTTATCCTACTTCATTTCAATGATGATTTGAAAGTATTATTTAAAAAATAAATAAATTATTATATGTATTACGACTTGTAATATATAAAAACTTGTACAATTTGTGTTTAATATAAATCTGGTTTAAGTAAATTCCCAGATCTAAAAAACAGTTATTTTTAAAATATTAAATATCAAGGCATCAACAATGGCCAAGTTATGTTACACAAATGGTTTTGAGGAGATTAACAATTAACGTTTGCATTTGCAAAAAAAATGTAATTTGTTGAAATAGTGACAGTATTAGCTAATGTAAAAAATTACAAAGAAGTAGAAGCCTATGATCTACCTGAGTAAATTAAAACCCAAAGATCTAAAGAAAAGATTAGTTTTGTTAGATTTTTTTTTTAAATATTTTGGTAACTAGATATATAGCACGAATAACCAAATAAACTTATCCATAATTTGAAAAGTTGCAGGGTCATCTTATTACTATCAGTAGTCTATAAAATGTTTGAAAAACATTCTGGGTGACCATTCAAACAATAATATTACAAAATATTATTGATAGAACTAAATTATTCAGGTTACAGAAAAAGTATAAGTTACTGTCTTTTTATACCTTACTTTTACACACAATATAAATGAGTGGTTTACTGCTGAAACAATATAAAATATTTATATGTAGGATATTAATGAAACTTTTTGACATAAAATTATCTGATATTTAACTTAAAGTTTTCCTAAATGGAAAAGACATATTATTAAGTCCCACGAAATAGTCTTCTCAGATATTCATAGTATTACAATTTTTATTTTAAACCTCCATTGTTAATATAGCAGGGGAAACATCCTAAAAGTTTATGTTGAAGTAAATTTTGCGATTTAGGCTGATATTTTCACTTAAGTGTAGGTTATTTTGAATAAAAACCTTACTTGGCATAACAAGTAA